CAAAACAGAGTGGACTTAAATTCTCTTTAATGAGCAGAATGAAAACAAGAAGCAAATTCTACACTTGCTCTTCCACTGAGATAATTTCAGGTGTAATGCACCAAGTAAGTGGGGTGTCTTTGGAGTACAACTTGCTAATGCTGTGTCAGTACATGGACAAACTTTATGAAGCACAAGGCTTGAAGCTGTGAACTCTGACAGTTAAGATATTGAAAAGGTATTAATCTTGCAAACTTTCTTTGACCTTCTTTCCGTGGAGCTGTTGCACCACTCTTGAAATCTTTTTTTTTTTTGCATTACTCAGTAGTTAATTTGTTTATTACAAAAGTTAGAATAAGATTAAACAAACTGCTAATGCTTTTATGTAGCTTAATGAGAAGAAAATGTTTCTGAGGGATTAAAACCACTACAGAAGTTTAAAGGGGAAAAAAAGAAAATAAAATTGAAGTCCACAACAGACTCAGGAATTTTTTCCACTTATTAATTGAAAACAAAAGCAAGTCACTTTGGTTCCACTGTCCCCAGAACGTCCTCCTTGCATTGTTCCAGATCTCTTTCATTTCGCCCCCAGAGATTTCCCTCCTCTGTACTTTCAGCTGAATTTATTTAGGTTACTTCTGAGTCCCCCGTCCTGCAGGCAGCTCTCATTGGGAATGAAGTTGCAGGGTCAGCCTTGCGGCTTGGCCTTCTCCGAGACTGCCTGAAGCCCCCGTCGTTAACCAGTTGAGCGTGAGACATAGGGAGGACCTGCAAAGCTAGTTCCTCAATATTTTCTGGCATTAATTTATACACGTGCAATAACTTTAAGCTCCCCTGGCGTTCTTTCAGCATGTATATGGTGTCTGGCATAGGACCTGCCAGCCTGAGAACAGCCAGATGAAGTGTCTAAAGCACGGCTGGAGACAATGTAGGTTGTGTTGGTGCTTGGTGGCAGGACCCAAGATGTCCTGCCTCCGACCACATTTTAAGGAGACTTGTAGCTGAGCTTATTGTCTCTTTCAGTCTTCTCTTGGGCTGTGTTCCCCAAACCTCTGCTCTTTCCCCAATTTTTGCTGTTGTGGATGATGAAGTGATCGAGAGTGCAGTAGAGTATCCAGTGCAACGTGGGGGCTGAGTACAGGCAGAGTCGAGCGAGGCTCTGGGATGCGGGGGGAGTACAGAGATGTGAAAGGCTCAGCATCAACACGTCGGGCTTCTGTGTGAGCTCCTGCTCACTTTCTGCTGCTTGGAAAATGGAAAAGGCACCTCAGCATCCAGCTGTGCCACAAGTCCGTGTCTGCGGCATCCCCGTTGTTAATAGTTTGGCCGCTTGGTGTGGGCCAGGTTTGGTTGCCCCTGTCTTGGGGGATAAACTCTGCAATAACGCAAGGCTACGGATGGAAACTCCTGATACATTTGCCTGTTAGGGCTTTCCTGGAAAGATTTTTCCAGCTGACCTTTTGAAAAAAATGAAGTGGATTTTTTTTTTTTTAAACGAATACGGAAATTGTGAAACTTAACAATACAATCCAAGAACTTTTTAAAGTCATCTTAAATGGTTTTATTTAGTGAATGTACTTAAAAAATGTAAACCAGACAGATCTGTCACTGAGCGTAGTCTTCAATCGGAGAATTACAGCCTGCTCCGGAGTTATAAGATAAGTGTATGTGGGACAGACCTTTCTTTCTCAGACTTTTTTAATCAAAAGGCTTTTTGTGGAGGCTGGCTTATTACTAAAGACTAAAGCTATCCAGTTTTTATGGCAAAGAAGAAAAAAAAAAAAGCAGCCTCAAAGATAATTTTCTATAGCATTGTCACAGTGCTTTGTTATTTACAACCAAGAGAATGAACAACTCACACCAATTTTAATTTTTATTTTTGTTTTCCTTTATTTTTGCATTGTGTGCTGTCGTGATTATTAGTGGGTATAAATACACATGTAAGACTTTTTTCTTTCTAGAAATTTTTTTGTGCATCACCTTCTAATGTCTTCTGAATTACTAGTCGCTTCAGGACAGTTAACTGAAGATCCAGATCAGGCTATAATTAGCGTTTGAACTAGGAGAGATGTTACTAGGAGCAGAGTGTATGTGCAGAAGAAATGAGGTAGAGGGGAGCAGCTGGAGAGACCTGTAGCTCCAGAATAAGGCAGTGCGTGTCCCAAAGGTTTGGTAGACAAGAAGTGGGAAGTATAATGCCCCAGATGTGGTAATCCTGAAAAGGAAGAAATACGTAATGAAGGTGCTCAGTTGAGTGGATCAGGTGAGAACCAGAGTTGGTCTCAAGAAAGTTGGCAATTGCTAGGTAGATAACAGTGCACAAACATCAAGGATGTGGGATCACGAGGATGGTTTTCCAAGAGTGATGGTATAGCTCAGGCGGTGGCAGAAACTGCTGAGGAAGGTGGATCTCTACCAGAGCCAGGGAACCAAAGATGATGATGGTAGAGTTTGGGACTTGAGGGGTGTTTTGACGTCATTGCAGGGGATAGATTTATTCTTCTTGCAATCAAACTGAGTCCGTACGTCATTTATTTTGAGCTAAGAGTCACTGCATAGTCACTGTAGTCTGCTGGTATGATGACGTTCAATACAGAGCAAGAACTTGACATCCCGTAACTTTGGAGTTGACATCCTGCAACTTTGGAGTGCACTGCGGTTTGGTCTGGGACTTGCTTGGCTGTTGCCTGTTTGCTTGTGTTTTAGAGGGAGGATGGAAGTGAAGGATCCTGGTTCTTCATTGGAGGGAGGGTTGTGGGTGAATAGGAGAGCTCAAAAGGGAAGGTACAGAGTTTGTTTAAATATAAGCTTAGAGCTGACCTCTAAGGTGCTGGGGTTTCGTTGCTGCCTGTCACCAACTTTTTTTTTTTTTTAACACTAGAGTTTGGCTAAAAAAAAAAAATTTAATAAAAAGGTTTTAGTCATTGGACCTTTGTCTTAGGTTAGCCATCTGCAAAGGAAACTTTGCCTAGAGTTTGTAAGTAGTTTTGAGATTTTTCTCCGTTGATAGATGCCTCTGTAAATGCCGATGGTATTTTCCTTTGAATGCAAACACATTTATTTGGCACCCATAATTACTGTTGCGTGGGTTTTTTTTAAATTTATACTTGAATGAAAACACAACTTGTCTAGCTTTATTTGCTTTTTCTATGTGAGTTATCTTTGAGTTAAGAGTTTGTCAGAGCGGAGGTGCCTGGTTGAGTTTCGTGAGGGACCCTGCAAAGAGCCTGCGCAGCACTAGATGGCACTCTGTCTCCAACTTTCATATTTTACCAGCAAAACTCTGCTAAACTGTAAGGAAAAACCTCTAGCATCGTGCTAGTGGTGGCATTGATATAATTTTAGGAAGTTATATCTCTTTGTCACCTTTAGCACCAATCAGCTTCTACCTTGGAATAAAGGAGGCAATATGGTCACCTTTGAAGACTTCTGCTCTTGGTGACTGTTATTTTACACTGAGTTTTAAATAGGCTTATAAAGATTTGACATTTTTGTTTTGCCATTGAGAATGGTTTACTAAAACTGTATAATTGAAATTGCTAGGGCAGGTTTTAAAGAATGGTAATTAAGTAGATTTCCTCCAGCTTTTAGTCCTGTCCTGGTATTTTTTGTATTATTTTGAGACCTTTGTGGATTGCAGAGGTGGGATTCTCCAAAGGGACTTGTGAGCGCAGATCACACCAAGGGATCACGGTGCTTTCTGCAGGCAGAAAGATTTAACGTGTCCAGTTGGATTCATCTAGTTCTGGTTCTTTCTGAAGTGTTGCTTGTCACTGCTGCGATCAGTCTTTTTTTTGTTTGTTTTTTAATTCTTATAGCTTGTTACAGCTCTGTCATTCACCATCTTTTATCTCTAATTGCTGCATGGAGTCCAGTGTATAATAAATTTAGCCTGACTAAATTTAGTTCTGACATGGTGCAAGCTCAGACTCCATAAAGCTCACTGCGTACTTAATTTTTTCGGATTGGGAGAGAATTCAGGTTTAGGAGTTAGCACTGCTCCTCAAAATACTAAAACTTCACAGAGACAAATCTAAGGGTGGGATTTCCACGCTCTGTAGAAAATATCTATGTTTACTATAAAAAAAACCCTAAGAAAACGACCCCCTAGAAAATCCCATACCATTTCAGGGTGTGACACAATCCCTCTGCTTTCTAGAATAACATTCGCTTATTTTGCAGTCGTGATCTATTGCTTCTGCAGAGCGGCTCTTTCTGTGGATGAGAGAGTCGCCTTCTAGGCTGCTTTACAAAACGGTTGGAAATAATCATCGTTACCAGACAGTGTGCATTGGTAATGGACAGAACAAAAAGTGTTTTGACGTGGCAATTCAAGCTTCTCTTCCCAGTTGCGTGGAATTTAAGAAAATACAAAGGATAGATTTATTTTTTTTTTTTAACTTCCACCCTTAAATTTAACACTAGTGTTTTTGTTTGGTTGTAGCAAAGATTACCGGTTACCTGCAGCTTGCACGCACAGTATCTTGGCTCGGGGTATCCCCATCAGTTTGGGTAGTCTTCAGCTCTGTTGGCCTTTCAGCAACACTGCCAACTGTGCTGGCAAAACTAGGGCTGAGAAGGGGAATGGATTTTGGCAGCTGTATAGGTGATACTTTTCCATTGTAGATTTTACCCAGAAGCACGAAGAACACCCAGTAAATTGTCCAAGAGGAGTGCTCAGTGTTACAGCATACGATAGCAGATAGTGATCAGAGATGGCTGAGCTCAAGGCTAGAGCACGAAGACTTTGTTTCAGGTGATTCAGCGCTGGCTTGGCAGTGTTGTGGTCTCTGAGGGAACATCAAGCTGGTATTTGACAGGTGGAAAAAGAAAAAGAAAGGCTGGAATAGAAAGATTTTCAAACCTGAGTTTGGTGCCTGGTGCGTGCAAATAAAAAGCAGAACTGTCCCTTTACCACAGGAGGGTTTTTTTTAAAGCTCATGTTTTGGATATTTCTTGTAAGCAATGACAGTAACAGATATTGGAATCCTGACCAACGTTGGCATCTTCTTTTTAGGTCTGTCTATGATGGAGAAGAACACGGCCGTTTCATGGAGAAACTGGAAGCACGAATCAGAAACCATGATCGTGAGATTGAGAAAATGTGCAACTTCCATTATCAGGGCTTTGTGGACTCCATCACGGAGCTGCTGAAAGTTAGAGGAGAAGCTCAGAAACTGAAGGTAAGAGAAAGCCGCCTAGAGATGGTCCTGGGCATCCAGCTCTAGGTGGCCCTGCTTGAGCAGGGGGCTTGGACCAGATGACCTCAAGTTGGACCTTCCAACCTCAACCACTCTGGGATTCTGTGAAACCACGTGAATGTCTCCTTTTCTCCTTTTGTCTAGAGCATCTCTCCTCTATCTAAAAAATTAAATAAAATACATATATCTTCATTCTTCCTGTAGCAATAGGTTAGTCATTTGAAGGTTGACAATTATTTGGGTAAACTGGAACAATGTGGTGTGTTAAAAGCACAAGAAAGCTTAAAGCTAAGCCTGTTTTGCATCAGGAAATGTGCTTTTCCTGGTATGCCTTATACCAATTTCTTAAGCAAAAATAAGCTCTACAGTCAGAAGTAGTCTGCTCTAGCAGCATCTACTCTAGTGCCCCATCTGACATTGAATTCTCATTAGAGGTAGCGTTGTGTCTGAGACAAATCAGCAAAGAGGTCTGATGCAGATCTGACTCTGCAGTCACGAGGTGTCTGCCCAATGTTGGCAAGTGCAATGTTAATATTTAAAAAGCAAATGAACATCAGAGCATTGTAAGGTGTTTAGGTGTAAGCAGGAACAGCAGTGGAAAATAACTACTAATTTCACTAAATACTGAAAGACTGTAAACAAACGCACAGCTCGATTCTTTTTCAGTAGCATCTCCAGGTTTGGTTGGCTTCACTAGAAGGTAAAACGGTTAGAGCTGGGAATGGAGACAGTAAAATGGTTACAGCTAGGAATGGGCTTTCCAAGTATTGTGGCCTTTAAAGCTGTGCGGAAAGATGAGAGAAAGGCGGAATTTACCTATTTTTTGAAAAACTGTGTTTAGTAGTATGTGGGAAAAGCCATTTGTAGGATCAGAATGTGGATAAGTGGTGGGGGGGGAAACGAGGCAGGTTTCTGGGGAGAAAAAGGACCTAGAGGTTGGAGGTGTTCCTATGTGTAGGGGCCAGGTGGGCTTGTAGTTGAAGCTTGGCTGCTGTGCCTTAAAATAGAAGTATTCCACAATTTGAGGCATATAAAAAAGCACAGCAATGACTTAATCGGTGTCAGAGGTCAGAGAACCTTCCTCATTTTCCTACCTGAGTCAGAACAGAGGTGGGGGAGACTGCTGTGCCATCCCTTGCTGCAGCGGCAAGGTGTGTCCTTGATTTGAAAACCAAAAGCTACCTCCCAGAACAGTCACTTAGTGAATGGGGCTGAGCTGTGTGGCACCCAAAAAGGCGTGGACTGTCTCCAGAGACCAGCACAGCAAGTCTTTCTGGCTGAGTGGAGTCTGCCCTGTTGAGAAGGACCTTTCTGGGAGTCTAGGAGCATGGGAGACCGTTCAATGGGCATTAGAAAAGATGAAGTTATAAATAAGGGGGGAAAAATATCTCAGAAAAGCAAGTTTTCTGGAAGAGAAGGAAGAACTTCAACTTCAGTGTGCTGACTGCTGCTTTTCATACATTTATTTGTTCATTTAAAGCTACCTCTGGCATTTCCTAGCAGGCTTCTAGCTTTACACACACAGGTCTCCATCCCACAAACGGACGCATGCTCGCAGGAACACCTTCGTGCGGGATGTCCTGACACCAGAAGCACCCGTACTATTACAACGGCATTTTCCATGGCAAGGATTCATCCAGCAGTCGATTGCAGGATGAGGCCACTGGAAATACCATGAAAGAGGTTTCGTTGTTGTTTGTTTTTTTTTTTTTTAAGCTATTGTTTCTAGCCAAGCATTCCACATTGTTTGTTTGCAAAGGCTTGTTGCTGTTTCCCATTCTACAAACAGCTACTTTGTTGGTGGTGCACTGTGAAGTCCATCTCTGTACCCTCAGGATCTCTCTTGAGTTCCGTTACTATGTGATCTATAAAACGGCACATGGGAAAAATATACACAGAAACTTATTTGAGAAATACTGAGCCCTCTTTGTAAGGGTTTCTCCAGGGAATCATCCGTGGGTCCAGTGGTGAGAGTGTGTTTTGTTCCAGCTATTCATTCTCTATTTGATCTTGGTCTTTTTGTCAATAGTGCTGGTCTTTGAACATACGTGCAACCAGCAATAAAATAAATGCCCCCTCCGTATTGCATCTCTAATACGTATCTTCACTCGCGTGATTTTAGCTTTGGGGTATTTTGTATAATATCACGCTTGCAGAAATACCAGCATTCATTGTTTTAAGAGTGCACGTGCTAAATATGAGCTGGATGCATTATCTTCCCCCATTCATACGTAACACAGCTGCCGGCTTCCCTCTGTACTGTAATGCTGTATTTCAGGTGGCCCCAAGTCAACTTAAATCCCGATCAGGACTGTATGGCTAAACTTTCTGTCCTGCTTTTGTGCCCTGTGAAGGGCTAGCACTGAATTGGGAACTTTATCTTCTTGATCAGCAGAGGAATCTCATTCTGCAATGAATTTCTGCACTAGGCAACATTGTGTTGTTTTCAAGAGATGCTGGGTCACTGATTAATAAGCTATGTTTGGATGAAAAAGTAAGTTAATTGAAAATACATGAGATACATTTTCAAAAAGGCATCTCCTTAATTTGAATGATATTTAAACCATAACATTTTTTAAACCAAAACTTTTTTTTTGCATTTATTTATTCTTTTTTTAACTATATAGCTTCACTATGGCAATTCTCTTTACTTTTAACTTCTTACGTGGTTTCAAAGGAAAATCTTCTTGCTTTGGGTTTATTTTGTGTTATACATCTTAAACCATCTCATACCTTGTTCTGCACAAATGATCTTCCTCATTAGGAAGTCAGCAGTGTGATGTTGACCTGGTCTCAAACCTATAAATGCATGGTACTACTGGGTCTTGGAAACTATGTACCAGTCTGGCTGTTCCATCTCATAAAGGTTCCAGTGGAAATTAAAAGGTCAAAGATAGATTATACATTAGGATGGTTCAACTTGGAAAACACGACTCAAGGTGCAAAGGGGAAAGGATCGCAGAGTCGCAGGGCTGGTGGCAACCTCAAGAAATCACCTACTCCATCTTTTTTCTCTTAAGCAAGTTCTTCTTCAGCTGTGTCATTCCTGATGGATTTTTATCTAACCTCTTCTGAAGTTAGCCCTTCCCCAGGTACTGCTGTCCGTCCCTCTCTAGGAAACTCAGGTTGCATGGTTGAAAAGTCTTTTTTAGGTCTACTACTTTTTGACCTGTCAGGCACAAAAGAGAGATTATTCCTTCTTGTTTTTGCAGCAATCCTCTACAGGTTGGAGGTTGTAGGAATATTCTTCTCTGGTCTTGTCCTCGCTAAGATAGGTAGCCCCAGTCCATTCTAAAGAGTCGTGCTTTCTAGGCATCTCACCATTTTTACTTTCCTAAGCTGAAGTCCTTCCAGTTGACAGCGTTTGGGGTTTTTTTGGTGATAAGCGTGGTTTCTAAGCTGGCACAGGCAATCAGTCACCAGTGAGATGGTGTAGAAGGGTTATTTCGGGTGTGTTGTAGGATTTTGTTCGTGCATACTCGTGTGGTGCTTGTTTTCTTAGTAACACCATAGCACTGACTGTTCTTCAGTTTGACGTACTGTAAGTCTGAGGTACTTAATGTCTTCTTTGCCTCAGTCTTTAATAGCAAGACCAGTTGTTCTCCGGGTACCCAGCCCCCTGAGCTGGAAGACAGGGATGGGGAGCAGAATGCAGCCCCCATAATCCAAGGGGAAATTATTAGCAACCTGCCACACCACGTAGACAGACACAAGTGTATGGGGCCAGATGGGATCCACCCAAGGGTACTGAGGGAGCTGGTGGAAGTGTTCACCAAGCCACTGTCCATCATTTATCAGCAGTCCTGGCTAACCGGGGAGGTCCCAGTTGACTGGAGGTTAGCAAATGTGACACCCATCTACAGGAAGGGCCGGAAGGAGGATCCGGGGAACTACAGGCCTGTCAGCCTGACCTCGGTGCCGGGGAAGGTTATGGAGCAGATGGTCCTCAGTGCCATCACACGGCACAAACAGGGCAACCAGGTGATGAGGCTCAGTCAGCACGGGTTTATGAAAGGCAGGTCCTGCTTGACTCACCTGATCTCTTTCTATGACCAGGTGACCCACCTGGTGGATGAGGGAAAGCCTGTGGATGTTGCCTGCCTGGACTTTAGTAAAGCCTTTGACACTGTTTCCCACAGCATTCTCCTAGAGAAGCTGGCGGCTCACGGCTTAGACAGGTGGACGCTGCGCTGGGTCAAAAACTGGCTGGACGGCCGGGCCCAGAGAGTTCTGGTGAATGGAGTTA